AGAACGTGCTGTATTTATAGCGCTATAACTTAAACCCAAATAATATAACGAAACTAAAAACTCAATAGCACGATTCAGGCCTAGTTGAAACACATCAAAGTTATTGACCCTACAGTAAGTCTGCCATCGCTTTAGATAGGTCTGTTAGAAGATTCTTGTACGCCTTGATCCGGATTGGTTTTTGACTCATCATTTGCAACGCTTTTGGATACCACCCCTATGTTGGCCAATCTGAGAGTACACACACTCCATGCCTCTCTTCGTTTTGTATTTTGCAGAGTACCGCTGGAATCACACTAAATGGTGGGAAAGCATAAAAATCTAGGTTTGACCATTGCAGGCTGAATGCATCTATTACGAAAGCCTGTGGGTCTGGGCGATATGATGCATACTTTGGGAATCGTTTATTCGTACGTGATGCAAACAAATCAATTTCAGGTGTAAAATGTAGTTTGTGTAAGGCGTCAGTAAGCGATGCTTTATCTAGCATCCATTCAGACTCACGTTGGTTTCGTCTCGACTCAAAATCTGCCACTAAATTGTCTTTGCCTGGGATGTGGGCAGCACTGATCCATAAACCTCCAGTGGAGACCCCTTTATACTCGGCACCCCACACTGTCAGTGATGCATCTGTGGTAATTTGGTGTTGGGGCTCTTCCCGTGTTAGTGTTTGATATGCGGTCTCAACATTCCGTATCCACCATTTCAACTCATTTATTCCCCCCGCTGATAACAGCATTTGTGCATCAAAATTTCCTTTGGCCTGTTTTAGAGCAGAGGTCTTATCTGTGTCAAGTTCCCGATAGTACAAAGGTTCATGCATTACCCCAGGAAAACGTACTACAATCTAACCAATTACTCTTGCATCTTCTCTTATAGTTAGTGTTTTAGAAGCAAGAAAGTTTGCCGTACACACATTTTTCAAATCATTAGTTTTCTCTGCAGTTAATTTGATTGTCATCCTTACTGAATTAATGAGAAATCCCAAAGTTATTATTTCCTGTGAAGGGATGAACCTAGATTTTGTAGGGTGTACTACAAATCCCAAACTATCCAGTAACAATGTGGTGTCAATTACATTTGTAACACAATTGCTGTAGGTATTGCCCTGTAAGTAGCAGTCATCAATGTGTGCTATTGCTATATTGCCCTTTGTGTGTAAAGTAGCTAAATCAGGTTTTAATGTTTTTGTAAACTTCCTAGGTGCACATGATAAACCATTTGGGAGACAAGTAGATTGATATAAGTCTCCTTTCCATTCAAATCTTAAAAATTTTTTATCCTCCTTATTTATAGGGAGTGAGTAATATGCATCTTTGAGGTCTAGAACAGCCATGTGACAATTTTGTGTCACTAATTTAGTCACAGTATGGATTGAGTCCATTTTAAAATGTCGGTATGTCACTGAATCATTGAACTTTTTTAGATTAAGGATAAGACGATAGGTTCCATCTTTTTTCGGTCTCAAGAAAATACCAGAGCACTTGTCCCTGTTCATATTGAACTTGTTTTATAACACCTTTATGAAGCAATTGTTTCACGTCTGCATCAATAATAGGGTACTCGTGTGGAAGGAAATTTGAGCTAGGTAAACTATGCTGGGTAGGTGTATCATCACAGTCAATTTTTAGACCTGATATATTAGATAAGATTTTTTTATCACTCGTTTTGGCAGTCCATGCAGGAAAATGTCCAGCTACTTGTCCCCCTTTAAACCTTTGACAACAATCAAACAAATATACCACTAATTTAGGTACAAATCCTTCAAATTTACCTACCGAATTTCGTATTTCTCTTAATTTTGCAATGATTTCCTCTGATGACCCTGCCACGTACGGGTTTTTCTTTTTGGGGTGGTTTTGGTACTGACGCTTGCCTAAAAAAGGCTTCGGTGTATATCTATGGTTCTTACGATCATAATTCATATCCCCATACCATTGTTTATTCTTGGAGAATGATTTAGTGGAACCCTTGAGGGCATGACCAATTTGGCTGGCTTCCTTGGCATCTTTCATGTTTTTGGCTAAATCATCAAATGGGAATTTGCTGTCAGAATTTCCTCTGTTCAACAAATTGCTGAATATTTTGACTTGAGAGCAGGTTTAATTTGGTATTTTCTAAATTGAGATACCTGAGCACTCGCATGCCCTAACATTGCAATAGAGTCCACTGATTGGGTAATTAGTTTGGAGAGGTCTCCTTTGCGTTTGTCTGAATTAAGCCATTAGCTGTCTGGAGTGTGGCCAAGGTGGCCTTGAGTAATGTCTGTTGTATATATTAGAGTTGGAGGCCATTCCCCTTTTTCTCCTTAGATAGCTTTGCCCATATTTCAGGATTAACCTTGGTGTTTGTTATTGTCTGACAAATTTCAGGGCGTTTGTATTTATCAAGGATGTCCTTAAGTTTTTCGGTTTCTAATTTTTTACCCCACTTTTTCTGTGCAATATCTGCCAGTTTAGTGTCAATTTTTTGTCTCCAGGGACCTCATCATCATCTAGAGACTGAGCAAGGTCGTCTAATAGGCTAGGTTGGGATTTACCAGGCCCCTTTTCGTGGCGTTTAGTAAGCTGACGTATGTCATCTTCCTCATCCCAACTATCACTTGCATGAACCCTGATTTCTGCATCTGCATCAGAATGGTTAGGTCGCTTTCTTTTGTACCTTGACCCATGTGCACTGTCTTGGTCAGATGACTCAGATTCAGAAGCAGATGTTTTTCTTTTTCGACCTGTAAGGCTGTGGTTTCGTGTTATTACACCGTGTTTGCCCGTTGGGCTCTGGGTTGGCGTTGTTACACCTCTGTCGCCACGGTTTTGTATTGTTACACGTTGTTTGCCTTAATTGTGAAGGCTCGCCTGCTGTTTCAGCAGACGCATTGTACATTTTTTCCAATATGATTGCGATTTGGCCCATATTCTTATTAACATTTGCCAATGTGGCATGTACATTAACATCTATAGTGCTTGGGTCCTCAATCTCACGCTGTACGGCCCCATCATGGTCGGCGTGCTCGCCCAAAGGCGCATTTTCCTCGTCCATATTTTTGCAAATTGACCCTAAATCAACGAAAAATTTTATTACATGGATACTTACCAACTCGGGCTTCCCTATGATCAAAATTTTACCTTGTTTTTTGGGCGGATGGCAAGGAGAAAGAAAGATTTAAAGAACGAAATACTCACAAAAGTTGTTGACTTTCCAGCAAACGACTTAGCACTGACCAGTAATGCGCATGCGCATCTCATGGGACTCCGTAGTGACGTGACTGATGACATGATAGAATCAAAAGTATATGAAATAAGTTCTTTAAGCTTGCATGGTATCACAAACATTTTTGACTACATTGAAAAAATCTTTGAAGTACAATTCTGTGTAAATTCAAATGCGTGTTGACGGTGTTGTCTTTACATGCAATCCCATGTTAGTAGAATTTATGCGTTTATGCGTTTATGCAAACGTGAAGTAATACGGTCTTCATTTCCAATGTTTCACAACAGGAATAAAAATGATGGACGCCTTTTGGTAAAAAGGGTTAGAGCTGTAGGTTACACTTGTGATAAGGTCTTAAAGGATAAATTGCAGGTGCTCCAAAACCGTGCGGTTAAAGTGATCACTGGTGCAAATTACGATATCAGTCCCAGCATGATATTGCAAAAATTAAATTTAGACACTCTAAATGTCAGACGTGCGCATGTTAAATTGAAGAGTGTTTTGTTGTATAAGGTCCTCAATGGACTTTCAGGTCCGGGCCTGACTGATAATTTTATAAAACTCCGAGATTTTAAAGGCTGCTATCATCTGAAAAATTATTACACTGATTTAAAATTACCAAAACCAAGAACCAATTTTTTAAAACGCAGTTTCAATTACAGTGCTTCAAGTATGTGGAATATTCTTCCGACAGAAGCAAAAAAAGCTACCTCAGTTAGGCACTTCAAGCGCTGAATCTCAAGCTTATAATTTCATTTAATGTATGATATAAAATAATTCATTAGTCTTTCACTCATTTATCTCTATTCTTCTAAATATTGTACTATTTTAAAAACTTTCTTTGTGTTATTCACACGCCTCTCCTGGAAATCAACTATTATTAAAGTTGAGTTGGGCTAGCGTGTTTTAAATAAAGTGATGTATGTATGTATGTAAAACTAATTACAACATGGCCCCTAACACATACCGGCTGATTCATGTCACATCCGCGTCGTAGATTTAATCATACAAGCCATTAGGAAATTAACTGACGTGTGTACACACATGTAGCTATCTTGATAACAATATATTTTTGTAGGGAAAGAAATGTTCAGAATTAAACCAATTCGAGTAGTACGCTGTCGGTCATATACGTACAGCTATATTTTGTTTGAATACTTTTTAAATTTAGTTTATTAAATTATTGATTTTTATTTATTATTAATACATTTGATGCTTTTATATAAATTTCGTTATTCAAGACACCATATAGTAACGACTAACGTACCACACGTAGTGTCTATCAATCGTCTCACTTTCTTAAGATGTCTTTACCGTTTGGTCGGTACGTTCGGGGTCATAGAAGGGACCCTTTTTTAAATGGCCATAAATTCATTTTAAGGCATGCTTTGTGGCCGCCAGAAACAATGTTATTGTGATAGCAAATGTCCAGAAATGTGAATATGCCACGTTTTGTGCGTTTGCGTTGCATTTTTCGTGATTTATGCTTTTTTGAGCGAGAAAATAAGTATTTTCAAAATAAGACACCGAATATTGACCACAACAATAATATCCCGAACTTTGTAGGGCTATAGCTTAGTGCGATTACACCCTATCGAGACAGAAATACCACCATTCGAATCTTTGTACACGTTTAGTCTACATGTGAGACATTACAGCCGTGTGACGTAAACAACAACTTTTTGGGCATATTCGGAAAGTGTATGCATGCATGTCGGAACTTGCCGAAATTTATCGGTCAACTTCGGACGCTAAAATCGCCGGGATTCTTTCTCTGTATGGGTTTTAGAACCTCAGGAAATCAACTCTACATTACCTAATGGTTTAGAATCGTGAATTTCATTGGTTTAAAGCAAGATTTGAGCCTCACGTGGGTACTATACGGGAGGCGTGCACGAAACGGCGAATATTTACAGTGTGACCAGATTTGGTGATTTTAATTACTTTTGGTAATATTTCACGGTTTTCTGGACTTTTTTAGTAATTGAGTAAATTTAGTAATATTTTTGGTAATTTCGTCTAAAAGTTAGTAATATTTTAATAATCTGCTGTAATGACACAAACTGTCATTCAAAAATTCATCCCAAGCTGTACCTACCCCCACCGGCACCGACCTTTATGCGTCAAATCCATTTCAAACAATAGATATAATCATCATATGGGGCTAGATGAGGTTACAACTCAATTATTGTTTCTTTTATATTATATATTTTGACATAGGTAATTGGAACCATATTGTAGTTCTTATATAGTTATAAGTTAATTTGTAACAATTGTCTGAATTAGACAAACTAGAGAAAAAAAAAAAAAAGGACGTTATGTGTATGTGGGCTAAAGGGGAACATAATGAGTAATTTGTTGAATGGTTAATTGCGAATTGAGGGGCGTAGAAATAGAAATAAAAATAACCAGATGGAGTGGTTTGGAATTTGTTGGACAACCGCCAACCATGTGGTGTGTTTGAAATAAAATTTTTTTAAAAAGGGGGTTTTGTTTGTTTATGATGGAGTTCTTCAAGAAACTATGTAGTTGCGTTTGTAGTAATAGGTTGTGTAGCGTTATTGGTGGTGTTTAAGTCAAGGTTATGTAAGGAGGTAGGTAGAAAAGTAAAACAGAAGACAAGAAGGCAAGCGTGCGAATCAGTATCCCCGTACGCGGCGTTTCATCCTTTTGCGGACTCGTCAGCGGGGAGCAGGGTTGGCTTTGTGTGAAGGAACAATGAAGATAAGAAGTGAGTAAAAGTGGTGTGTGTTTGTAGGAGAATCATAAAGAATCAAGGTTAAAGTTATCAAACCTGCGTGAGAGTGTATTCGTAAAAGGCAAAATGGTAAAATTAAACTGTGTGTCTTACCAAAGTTGTTGTTGACTTTAGATAAACCAACGCGGTGAGCCATCTCAGGGTTGATGTGAAATCGAGTGTAATTTTACTTAAAAATTGTTTTGAATTGCTTGACAGCAGAGCTTGTGTTCGAGCTTGTATCCGTTCAAGAGACTTGATCGAAAAGGGGTCAAGGATTGCACGTGTGTGCATAAAATGCGTTAATAGAGAGCTTTAGCAGTGACTACGAGTACGACTACGAGTACGAGATTTGTCATTCTCGTGCGTTGTTTGCTTACGCCATCAGTCAAAACTCGTAGTCGCCGGGCATTTGAGTACGAGTTTTTTGATAAACTTCGTACTCGAAAGCCCAACGACTACGAGTTTTGGCTGATGGCGTAAGCAAACAACGCGCGAGAATGACGAATCTCGTACTCGTAGTCGTACTCGTAGTCACTGCTAAAGCTCGCTAATATGTTACGTCACTGAGGTCAGGTGTCAAAGTCTGTGTTGGGGATAGTGGGGGTTTACGTGTCAATTATGGTTGTGTGTGGACATCCGAGGTTTAAATGTGTTTTGGTTGTAAGTTGTACTTCATGTAGTATGGTTGGTTATAATTGTTGAAGTTCCGTTTTATCACCGTAGTCATGAAATAAAAAATTGGGTTGAAATGTTTTGGATTTTTGGCGAGGAATTACAGAATTACAGTGCAATATCGTCATCTGTGGGTAGTAAACTACCACGGGTTCTAAAAACTTCCGTGTGTCGATGTTCGGCGATGCATCAACCGTGAGGGTTTCAATCGTGAATATCAATTTGAGGTAGTCAAGGTTTTTAAGGTTTGTATTTTAAAGTTTTATGATAAGCTTGTAAAACGTGCATATAATTGTGAGTGTAAGGTTGTAGGTATATAGGTATCATTATTTAGTAGGTGTTTAAATTATCATCGGTAATTAGAAGTCAACGTGGACGTTGTCATGCGTTTGAATTACTATAACTATATATATATATATACAGCATATGGATAGCGGATTGTACATTATATTACATAAGGATTGTTCAACGTGACTACATTATCCATGACCATGTTCATGTGGTTTGATTTGAAGTGTATTTAATCCGTGTGGTTGAACATTTAGGTTTTGTTCGGGCATCTGGTCATATTTATGGCTTAATTCTGCTATAAGGACAAGTATTTTTTTAAAAAATAATTCTATACTTATGTCCGCAGGATGCCCAGGATGCCAGATTTGATGTGACTGGGGCTAAATTGCAGAATACCCGTCCACTAGTCATGGAAATGATGTAGCCACTATTTCACTGGATACGCGGATACGCAGTCGAAAATTGTAAAGCAATGAATAGGTCAGCGGTAATTCCATAGATTACGTAATATAAATGTAGGTATTACTTTAAGTGGATACGCGGATACGTTGGATACGCAGTCGGTTAATATTTTAAAGTTCATAGACCTTAAATCAAAGACGCTTCGTCGAGCATGCCGATTCCCGAGTAAAACTTAGACAATGTCAACAGATAAACAAACTCTGAATGATCATATATAAATTGGGAGTAAACGTCTTTACTTCTATTACAAACGCAAATTACTCATTTATATGTTTCGTCTATTGATGTTAAAGTTTCATGCAGTTCAGCCGCACGACTGCCATATGATACTCAAATAAACTTTATTTTAATAACTTAATTAATATTATGAAACTTATCAGACGCTCTCTGGCTGTAAACATTTATTTATTACAAATTGAACCTATACGGCTCATCACAAGACAATAACAACATTATAGTTTCTAACACCATTCTTACTTCATTCGCATCGCTATATTACAGTATGGATAATTCTTAAAAATTTCCATATATATTTTTTACATCTATAAGGAATTTCTCAAACAAGTCATTGCCTTTGTGTTCGTAACGCCACAAGAACTCAGCTAAGTGCGATGAGAACATGGATTTTCTTACGCCAAAATCAGGCATCTTTGCCTTCGCCTGTCGCCAATGACCTTCGATCTTGTTGGTGTGGTCGCCATCTGCATTTACGAATTCTTTAGAATGATTAACACACTTATGAACATACCCATGCTTCTCAAGATTCACATACGCCTTCAACAATCTGAGATGATTGTGCTACCTTCGGCTATGTGGCGCTGAATTAATGGCAATAAAGTTTTCTCGTCACGCTTTTCAACAGCGACCAAAAAACATCTGCGGGATTCTTCTTCGATTCCTCCGAATACCCATTGTCCTTCAACTTTATGTCCTCTATGGTACTTTCTTTTCCCAAACTTACTCTCGTCGATTTGAACACTCTTTCCTGCACCCCCGATCTTGTCATCTCGCTCTAGAAGTGTAACTTCGCAAGTCTCTGGGCAAAAGCTGTCCCAATCTGCTGCCGTATGCTCGCTAACGTTAACTTCGTGCCGAATGTCCTCTTGGCTTACCCCTCTGCACCACCAGTATGTTAACTTAACGATTTCTGCAAGAGTCAGGTTGCTTTTTTCGAACCAACTGTCTTTTCGAATCGATATTTCAACCCTGTGTCGTTTCCCTTTGATTTGCCTCCTGCATTCCCACTTGAAACCGTCCGATCTGTCATTTGCGATTACCAATTTCATGATCTCATTGCAATGTCCGCATTTCCTGCTCGTAGCTATAAGCTTTTCATCCATAAGCCAACCAATCAGTCGATCTTTATTGCACAAAACTTCTTCTTTGAGACGGTCGTAGGTCCATTTACTGTTTTTGTTTTTCCGATAGCTCTCGTAGCTTTTTCCCTCGTCAAGGTGTTGTGTAGCAGCATCGTGTGTTGCTAATGCAGTCCATTCAGTTTGTGACTGTGAACTTGTCCTACACGTTTTCTTTTTTTTCGCACAGACTTGAATTCCCTTATCCATGCATGTGCTTTAGTTTTTCGGTTCTTGTTGTATAGCCGCGAGTTTCTCTGTCCAACTGTTTTGCTTTTCAAATGGAAAAATATAAAATTCAAAGAGTGTCAGTTTACAACTGCTGTGCGTCTATTCGTTGCCCACAGCGGCCGCGATCTCAATGTCGCACCTCGCTGACTTAATAAATAAAGTCAGCGGCTTACGTCATCGTCTTCAAAAGTCTCCGTTCTCGAGTATCTGCACGATATGTACTCGTTTTCATTGCTATTTACTGTGAACAGCGTTTTCATGTGTCTGTGGTTAATAAGCTGAGCGTATTCGACCGTACGTTATTAATCTTAACTTATTAGACTATTAGTGTTAAAACACAAGGTTTAAAAACACAACATTATACTTCCTGTGTTGAGCGCGTTACAAATGACTTTGAAGTGAAGTTAAATGAATTGAAGACACAAGAGTAAAAGTTTGGTAATTCCTTATCTTGGGAAACAAGGTGAATTTCTTGAGAAAATTCTAAATAAAAAGCTACAACGGTTTTGACACAACCACTCAAGCTCATTGTTATGTATCTCGTAGTAACGTAGTTTATAACTTTACGTACGTGTCCAGCTTGTGCTAAGGGGTATGTAGGAAAAACGGAAAGGAATTTCGGTAAACGTTTTTCTGAACACTCGTACCCGCTCAAAAATGCCGTCGCCAAAAATGTCACAGAATGTGAACACGCAAATTGTATCCTATTATCTTTACGATAATATTAATGATGATGACACTAACGTTTCTGGCAAACCATTTTCGTATTCTGATCACTTACAGATCGACTAATACTAAACTCCTTCAATCTCTGCAAAATAATAACTCTTACATCTTACTATACCTACAAACTTTACATATAAAGTTTCGTAAGCCGGAACTTAACAATGGGCTCAAAGCATCGAAATAATTACTTGTGTTTCCGCGATAATTCTCGCTTCTACAGTTGATTACGTCATCTTCCTGTATAGAGATCCTAACAAGCATGTAAATAATTTAGTCTGGTTTCACATGATTCTAAAATAGAGTCGAAAATAAACCAACTGAACAATTGCGTCTTTTTTACTTTAATCTCTAAACTTATACTAAAGAAAATTTTGTATCCGCGTATCCACTAAAAAATAAAGTTACCTCTAGCTTGAGAATCTGA